TCCAAGCCGTCTCTATCACACCTGTAATTTTGATGAATTCGAATACTTTGTCCTCAATTTGCAGTAGGTACAACTTTTCTTGATGGCCTCATGCTGAATTTTCAGACTCTTTCGCTGTCCCTTAAAATCAAGAATCTGAGCTATTCCTGAACTCGAACTGAGCAAGCACGTGGGCAGACGTTAATGTTGTTCGATATTACTTTATGAAATGTTTTTTCTTTACTTATAGCTGCGCTCGATATAAGAATATTCGTTAGACAATCATAATAGGCAAGTAATTCTGGGCATAGACAGGATATGGAGGTATAGTAATGCGACAATGATAATATTGACAACTAACATGTGATGTCTACCGCAAAGTCCGGAATATTTGGCCTTGAGACGATCAACTTCTTCAGTAGCTTCCGCGATACAACTTCTCGCAACTCGGCGCACACGCAGAAAATGAGTTTTAGAACGATCGTCTTCGTCATCCTGAAATCACATACGGATTAAATCACTCAAGAAGCTAGAGGCTCTTGAAATCACTTGTTGAGCCACTAGCTCCTCCTATGAAACCTGCGAAATTCTCGCAATCTTCTGAATTCTCTCTTGAAAAGAAACTTTTCCGGCAGAAACTCCGCCAGTTTTGTTTCAATTTCGAATCGAAGAAATTATAATAGCTTAGGAAATCGTGTCAATAAAAGTAATCTAATAGTAATAGCTATGAAGATAATAGTCGTGATAAAAGAAAAGTGTGGTGACAGTCATAACAATACTCGTAACGTTGATGAGCCAAATCCTAGCTGTCAGTGATAATCCGAAGACGGAATTGCTCACCTGATCCGTTCTGTCATCATTACTTCCATGATCGTGTCTCTTCACCACCTGGGCATCTTGTTTTCCACCACCACCTTTCTTATTGCCACGTTGTCTGTGACGACCGCCTTTCGACTTTGAACGATGTCTGTGGGGAACGTGTGCCCGGCTGTGCTTACCCCTTTCAGGCATATGTGGCGATTTATCACGCTTGAAACGACCATCACTTAGCGCCGTATCGTTATCTGGGAGTAAATCCGGCGTTTCATCTGATTGTGAGTCGTTCGATTGCGTTACGTTCCGAGAGCGATTTTTGCCAGTACGTCCTTTTCGATCAGTTTTGACTTTCTTTGGGTTCCCTTTGGTCTTGGAACTTTCATCTTCATCGATCTCGACTGAATCTAGCATGTGGTGATGAGCGTGATGATGTAAACCTCTGTGACGATGCATTTGATGATGTCGCATTCTCATCATTTCATCCTTATCGCTTCCGTCTGGAGATTTTCTTTGCGGCATAATATGTCTGTGATGCATTGAATTCATTGAGCAAGGGCATTCACTTCTCCGTTTTACCCTTCGATGAAATGAGCTCTCAACCTCCGAGTTCCCGAGAGGTCTCGGCGGAAATCCACAACCACAGTCATCGTCAACCTGGTGGTGTCGTTGCCGTCTCATGGGTCCTCTATGCTGTAATAACTTGCATTCTGAGATTGCCTGAAATATAATAGTTGTAGACTGCGGGATATGCGGTATCGTTTCGCAGATAGGTGTATGAGATCATTGATAAGGTGTGATTAGTTGTGTTCTGAGTTTATCTCAAATATGGTAACTGGTTGTGAGGTTTCGAGGTTTTTGAAATCTTTGTAAGTATATGGATGGATAGTTGCGTGATTGAGAGTCGCACTTATTTGAATGCAATACGCAGGTTATCGAGGTTCGGACATGAATTTATCATGCGAATCAAAAAAAATCTGTTTCGATCAAGATGGGCTTATGGTTCTCTTAAAGCGTATTTCAAGTCTATTTGAAGTTTGCGAATCGAGAAGGTGCGGCGTGATTTTTAATTTTCGAATTTATTGATGTTGTTTTTTCCTGAATTTATTGATGAATATTTTCAGCTCATTGTCAGCAACGATTCTGGTTTCAGTCATCAAATCATAATCTTGTTTGGTTGATTTCTGAGCCATTTTTAATGGTAAACTTGGAATTTTTTAGGGAATAAGGGATGGTTTTTCCATTCCGTACGGTAGAACCTTATGGAAACCATTACTAACTTGTGTATATTCGTCGTTTACGTCTTCAAAATTTTGCCATGCCCTGTCAACTGCTTCCACATCGTCGCATTGTGCAATATGATCTAAATCCAATCGACATGCCAACTTTTTCTCCAGACCACGCTTACTGATAGCGAACTTTGTGGTCAGATCCCCATCACACTTTAAGAAAATTCAGTCAGAGGAGATCAATTTTTGAAGTTCCAGATCATGTGGATCTTGAGAAATTCAATCAGATCAACTTTTTGAAAGAATATCAGCAGAAATACAGTTGAGGAATTGAAATTTCTCAATTTTCTGAAGTTTTTCTGCTAACTGGGCAAATTTTCCAGTTTCTAACACCGAATTGGATACAGAGTTTGAAGTTGAAACTTACTCGACACCCGAACGATGCTGAAGCTAAAGTCACCAACGCCACAAGTGTGAACAATGAAAACCACAATAAAGCATCTAAGCGCATGGTTTATGTCGACGGATCAAAATCTTCGGGTTCTAGACGGAATTCTCAGGGTCTCAGAACCTGAAAGCTCGAAGATTCTGGGTTGAGGAATTCTGAAAATCTATCAACAACCCTAAGAATATTCGAAAATCCGACGGTATCTTTCGTTCTGTACATAGGCCAGCTGGAATTAGGTTGAATTGGGAAGTTTGAAGTTGTAAAGTATCATTTGATAATAAATTAAATAATGGAATGCGATAGAAGAGATAAGGAAGGATGGAGTATACGAAAAACGGGAGAAATGACTCGTTCATCATAAGCAAATCAGAATGCGATATGTTTTTATCACCTTACAACTGCAGTTTTAACGGCTTATTTGGATGGAGTAACGTTTTGATGGCTGACTCATTCACAGCTGAAAATACCTCACCCAACTATAATATGATATACTATAATATAATATTCAACAACTAATCAATGAGTTAGTAGCTAGTTGAGGGTAAGAGGTGCATGAATACACGATGAAATAACAATAACACTACTAATTTTATTAGTGATTTGATATGATTGACTTTATATATTGACACGTATGAATGTTTTTTATTTATTTTAATGCTTTCAATGCACTCATGAGAACTACCCACTACAGGACGTTGTTCTTTAACCTGATAAGATCCTTTAACCTACCCATTACAGGACGTTGTTGTTTAATCTGATAGGATCCTATGACTGGAACGTCTAAACGGGCAAATTTTTTTGCGATCAAAAGTAAATTCAAAAATCTGACGGCAATGGAATTTGATGATTTTTAGTCGAGAATAGCATCGATGTGCTTCTTATCACTGAGCAGAAATCTATTGGGTATGTTACTGACAGAGTCTTATCGTTGCATTCTTATCTGCTATCAATGAGAGCTATAAAATCGGAATTGAGCAATGTGTGGTGTCGTAAACGAGACATCATGTGATGATTACATGTAAACATCTCAGCAGTTTAATCATCTTAATCAGTTTGGTATGTCCTCTCATAAAAATAAATTTTCAAATTGCACTCAGCTTTTAGGTGTTTACTTTTTGCTGTAAGCATAAGAAATTTTTGTGAGACAGGTTCATATATGCATGTATGTAAGTAATTCTAGTTTATTTTGTTCGTGAATTTTTATTTGTTAGGTATATTACAGATTATAATATGGTAGCAGTAAATGAGAAGACAACAGTAATAACATCAATAATCAAGGAGTGAATTTCCAAGGTAATCAAGACTTAAGGGGAGAATTCAGACATAATTCAGAAACAAATGTGAGAATTAAATAGATTAAATTACTAGAGAACACTTAATATATCATAGAGCAGCTGTCCACCAGCGCAGAAACTCTTTCTGATTTTCAATAGAGCATCGTAGATTCTTCTCAATTGTCTTGAGACTGTCTCTAATGAGAAACAGAATCAGTCCGGAAACATATTCAGGCGATTTATACTTTAAAGAATGAGATGGGCATCTGCTCATAAATTCATCACAATTTCAAATATATCCACAGCATGCACAAAAAATATCGAAGGTATATACAACAGACAAGCTGGAAATACGATCAAGATAATAGTAAACAAGCATTTTGATCGTAATAAAATAATGTCATGATCAATAAAATAGGATGAACAAGTTTGTCAATGACTTTGAATGGATATGCCTTATTTATACCACAATTATTTCACACGAGTACAATCATAATTATGAACACCTTTGGACGTAAGCAAAAAACGATCAGACTCATGATTACATTGATACGTATAACTGCAAAAAAGTAGAAATGAATCGAATCAGACTGCACACCAACAAATTACACTCATAATTTATCATTAATAATCATCATAACTGATTGAGCACTGTGAATAGCAGTAATGAAAACGAACATAAACTCATGCTAAATGTACTAGAATATCGTAGCGATAGTCCACCATTACAAAAATCCGTGTCAGCACAGTAACATATCACATTGTTAACACCGAACATAGTCTCGGTAACACATCTCGACTCTTCTGACCTCAAAAAAGCCTCATCTCCATAGTAACTTTCGCCAGTCACTGACCTAAAATTGATGGAAAACTAAATAAATAGAAACAGATGGGAAGTTGGGCAATATAAACGATGGAAATCAGAGGAGATAAATGAAAATTTTGAAAATTTAAGAGGATATCAATGAAATATTCACCTTGTCGTTCGGTTTTCGCATCCTTTACTAACATACTGATCACTTGCTGAAAATTGGTCAAAGTCACCGGCTGGAAATAGGTGAATTCTGGTGAAAAGTCATCGATAATTTCCCTTTTCAAATTCCAGATATCGTCTACAACTCTGGATTCCTCAACCGGATCCACAACCGGACTATCTCCCATATTCAGTTTCCGTTAAAATCTCTCCGAATAGCCACGATACAGCCAGAAATTTCCGAAGATCCATTAGTCTCTAGCTATCGAAAT